AGTTCTCTTACATTCTTCGCACTCCATATATAGACTAACATATTTAAGTGCGCTGTTGCCCTCAACCACACTTGGAGTGGGGGTCGTCCGTAGGTGGATTTTTGACACGGGTCTTGCCCGTGTTGAGATTGCGCTGGAACCCCCATTCCCTATACTACTCACTACAACTAAAAATGACCTTCAAATTTGATTGAAGACGGGATCCGTACAACTTGTGAACTTCAATAGGGATTCAATAGTGATTTTTTACATAAAAAAGAAACTTCTGACAAAGTTTTAAAAAAAGTCAATTGCCTTATCTTAGAAAAAAGCAGTAAGTGTATACTTTTGCACTCGTTTGAGACAAACATTGTCAAGCGCAAGAAGAATAAAAAATTGATATATTTAACTAAGATGTATAATTTAGGATTCCTGGAAAACATGTCAAAATCTTGATTACAAGTGACGTTTTGCATCTTCTCGTAAGAAATTTTTTAGCGCTTCTCAGTTGACTACCATCATTGAAATAATATGTATTGTGTATACAATTCTTTGTAAATCATTAATATCGCATAGGCCTTTGGCGCACCTTGGCTTTTCTTCTCTAGATAGTTCCTAGCCTGTGAACATAGCTCTCTGAGGAGGGGACTGGAGAAGGGGAGGGGAAGGGGACTGGGGAGGAGAAGGGGAGAGGGACTACAGGCTAGATATTTTTACAGCATACTTCCAGCATAATCTATATCTTACATGGCCTTCTATCTCGTCTAAAACCTCATGTCTTAAATTTTGAAATACAGATCAGCACATGTTTTACCGCAACTGCTACTTCCATCAAATCCTTGAAGACTTTCAGAATACCAGATCCTGAGTGTGTCATTTTTTTTTAGCAATAGCAAAGGACGATCGGTAGAAATAGGATAGATCAATTCGGGACTGGACACGGTTATGCCGTCAATGGTGAAAAATGATTTGTAATAATTGGGATACCCAGGATAAGGTGCTCTTTCCTTCTCTCGCCCGTAGAGGAGTTAAAAGGAGACTCTGCTCGCAGGGTAAGGTTGAACTTGATGAATAAAAGAAACAAGTTCAGTCTCGACTTCAAACCATTGTTTCGTGGTCAGTCAAGCTAATTCGGGATAGGTCTATTAAACCGCGAAACAAAATCAAAGAAAGTACTAAGTAATAGTTAAATAGTAGAACTAATAGTTCAATAAGTTGAATAAGTGCCGTATAAGTTCCATAGTAATATGAGTAAAGGAATACAGGAATAAAGAAATATAGAATTGAAAGAAGACGCGACTGGGATACTTAGAAATTAAGCTTCCCAGTCTTTCAGTCCTGCAGTGTCGATTTTCGGCTCTCCTACWGAGGGAGATGAGAAAAAAAAAGCTTCTGCAAATCAGTAGTCAGTCTCAAGCAGGGAAAAACTATCGTTGTTGATACCTTGAGCTTCCTGTGGTAGGAATTAATTTTTCCTTTGATCTTAATTTATTCACGTGATTTGTATGTCGCATAGAAACCAGCTGAGTATGGTTAAACTATTATAGAAACTGTACTCCAACAATGTGTACACATGCCAAATAAATTCACTGGATATTTGCTTCTTAGTTATCTAGTGGATACCGATATACACCGATATGTGAATGATGACTTCTTTTCCAGTGCTCACTAAACTAGACGCGAGAAACCGTCAACAAACTCCTCACTTCGCCTTGTCACGTAACCCCGAAAGGAGAAGCATCTCGAGTCTTAACRACTCAGAAATTTATAAGCTGCCATATAAGCTCACATGTTCTTYACAACATTCTCGAGAACCAGCCAAATTATCAACAGTTTCTTTGGTAGGAAGGTAAGTTACTAGGCTTTGTAAACAATAAAGTCGAAACGAAGCTCCGTAATCGGAGAGTTCAGAATTCCTTTATATACGCTACTATGAATATTGGAGCAAATGTTCAGACAGCTATATATGTCTCCATTCTGATATAACTTTATATCCAGAGAAAATACGCTCTATTTTTTWAATCAGAAAAGACCAAAAAGCCAAAGCAAAATCTTCTCAAGCATCAAGTATTTCTGGAAAAGATAAGAGAGAAACCAACTGCAGTACAAGTGAGTATATAAAGATGTAGGCAAGCAGTTTTAATCGTCTTAATCATTAGCTTGTGTTCAGTAGTATTAAGATTTCCATACTGGGGTGTGCAAATRGATAAGATTTGGAACTGGCAGCCCCAAACAACTTTCCTGTGCATGGTTTATAAAATTGGGAATATAAAGATATGACAGTAAACTGTTTCAACTCACTGAACAATTTTCTTTAAAACTTGCTTCAGTCGTTGCTTGTACCTTTCTTCTGCCATTTGAGGCTATTTAGTGGTTTTTTTTTCAAAATCCTCACTTTTCTACCTAAGTAATAGGAASGCTGGAGAGCTTTTACATATGCTGCATTCTCATCAGCAGAACATAATATAAAGCTTGAGACAAATGGTTCTTCMCAGAGGGAGTTAGGTTTGCTTTGGAATGTTAAAATAATGTTTGTATTGGGGTTTACACTGACTACAGAAACATAATGCTATGATAACTGGTCAGTCTGGAGTCAGGAAAACAAGAGCTAGTACAGCTAGTAAAAGTATTATTACAGAACTTTGTAAAAGAAAGCGGAATCTAAATCCAAAGGCATTTTTTGATGTGTCAAAGAAAACCTAACTCCCTCCAGSAAGRGGGATTTGTCTCCAGCTTGGTACATGGTCAGCTCACACTTTATGACTGACTTTTGAAGACCATMAATAACAAGCTTTGGATAGATAGCGTGAGGGTTTGGTCATATTAGTGGAATGTCCCTATCAAAAACAGCCAAAGTATCTACTCCTCCCCACTGGATCAGAATTGATATTAAGTCATATAGAAAATGAAAAATGAAAAAAAAAGCCATGTCTGCCTGTACCACTAAAGCAATACATATATGTTTAGTGTTATGTAATATCAGCAGCAAGTTTAAGACTGGTTCACAATGTGTTTTGTCATCAAAAGAGACAGACACAAGTTTTTACTCTCATTAATGGTTATTGTTTTAAACACCTAGGTGATAGATTTGATACTGAGTCTGCATAGTGTTGCTTCTGATTGGCTAAGACATTTTCTCAGATCATCTTGCAGAGGTGGCTCGAGGGGTGGTGAGGGGGATGACTTGCCACCCTCTTGTTCTGCACAAGTAAAATTATGTTTATAACTACCACAGCATAGATGAAACATCAAAAATGTTTTCAACACGTCGTGCTTCGAACCGTAAAAATCCTCATGTATAATCTATATGGAACATGAAAGCCTCAAGACTACCATAGTGTAAACGTGTTGTAACACTCAGTTTACTTGAAGCTCTCTGCATATTTTATAATTGCTTTCAATTCAAGACACCATTCCCCCCCCCCCCCCCCCTCATTTTCTTGCCTTTTATGGATTTCCTGTGGTAATGATGCAAGGTACACTGTAACGGTTTACCCCTTTTTAAAATCCTGGACCTGCCACTGATATAATAGCTAAATAAGTAGCCCCAAGCACTTATTTCATGTACTGTAGGGTTGGGAAGTCATGATTTTCTAAAAATCACATGCCTACGTATTTTGAACAATTCAATGCATTTTCACCATGTGCTTGCTCTCTCTAGTCATGCGTAAAAAATCAATAATTGGTATTAATTCTCTCTAGGTATTGAGTATGACGAATCCAGACCACAGTTAAAGGTAGACTTAAATGTACCAAATCCAACCACGTACAACCCACCCAAATATCTACCATGGGAAACCACCTCACCTTCATTTACAATGAGGCCAAAAACCCAACCAGAAAAAGGTAAAAGAAACAAGAACACTTGCCGTCACTGACTTGAGAAAAAATTTAAATTTACCCAACATTTTTTTCTGAAAAATTCAGAAAAATCTATCTAATCCATTAGCTAGAGAATGCTTCTATATGTCATTTTGAAATTGTGTGCTTGTTATGAGTGSAGTTATAAAATAAAGTGTGATTGGCATTTGGCAGAATAACTCAACTTATAAGTGTTGTATAATTGCTGCAGCACAGCAGGCAYGTTTATTTGATGCTTATTGTAAAATACACTAGCTCACGAACTCCTTTTGCATAACATTGTTTTTAATCTATTGACTTAAAGTGCTACTCTGCGAACATCGCTTCATACATTTCTTTGTAKTTTATGATCAAAATATCAGTTTCAAAGAAAAGAAAGAAATACCCAAACACCCCAAAATATAAATTATAGTCACAAGTAATGTGAAATAAGCACATTAGCCACCCTTTGGGCTTCATAGGAATGAAATAAAYTTAAGGATTTATATACAAAGAAATGTATGGAGTGATGTTCGRTGTTGAGTGTATGACGTCACAGACTCCAAAWAATAATAGTAAAAATATCATAMTTTCGTCCTTAATATCGAGAAAGCACTWCATACARTGATTATTGGACCWTTAAAGAGTATTCTTAGGAAGTTTCAGCTRAATCCAAGTTTGAGCGATTTTCGTCAGAGTAGCACTTTAAGTTACGTCATTCATAGGTTTTTAATTTAGTCTTTCTCRGCAAAATGTTGGATAATGTTATTTACATTTAATGCTTTTCATAAAATTGCAAAATTGATGCAGATTGTTATACAAAATATTTGCTATATTCTATTCAGATTGTGGTGGGGATCGTGTGGCTTGGAACAAGCAATGGTTTGCCAGTCATGATATCTGGACTTACAGGGCACACTACGATAAGAGAGTAAGGAAATGTCAATTCCATTACACGGCAAGGGTTTTTCTATCCCATGTTGACATTTTTATTTTGAGCAGTAGCTCCTTCTAACAACCCTCAAATTATGTCTGGGCATCAGAAGGGCATGAGAGGGTTGGTGGGACTTCCRAAACATGRACCTGATAACTTTATTAGCATTCARGAAAAGTATGATTGATAATTGGTGACGCAGCACATATTCTTTACATGTAGCTTGACAAAATAATAACAYAATGAGCTAGACGATAAAATACCCTGGTTAATTAGTTAAATAAACAACAAAAAGCTTAAATAAACCTGACTGGATCACAAACAGATACTTGATGTCKATCACTATCATTACATGGCACCATCATGTGCAACCCCTGGTACCATGTCACTATAGTTAATAGAGGGGGAGGGGTGGGGGGGACTATGATGTTACATTAGACAGATCCAACTAAAACCCAAGGGAGAGGTGGTACCCAAAATAACTCATGACTCTGTCGAGGACGTCATTTTTTATTACAGAGATCAGTAGCTCATTTGAGCTGCATGTTCCTGGTGTCACAGGGCTGTTTGCAATGCATTAACATTGATCATAATTCTTTCTAACTTGTACATGTATTATTTTACTAGTGTCCATGGCCTTCCCCAGCTCATTACACTTCAAAAGGAACGGTAGGCGAGACCCAGTTTTGCCTAACTCAGTCTCCATCATATTCCATGGGAAAGCGTAGGACAACAGTCTTTAGTAAAAAAGGTATACATGTAAATGATACTTTTTAAGTAGAATAACTGTATTCAGTTAAGAGCGACCAGAAGATACCACTAAACTGGGAACGATTCCATTTAAAAACCGTGAAACAAAAAGTAACGATTACTGGCTAATATTCAAAGGAAAACCAAAAAATGTGAATGGGATTAGTTTAATTTCCCCCACTACCTATCACTATGAGRGCTACTTCGAATCACTCTATATATACTCAGTATTTATACACAAGTGAATATGGTAAATCCAGCGCGCTCATTGGTCACAACTTCCGTCTTATGCTGCTATATGGTATTCAACTACAGGTGAATATAGCGCGCACGCGCACGCTTGTATGTCGATTTGTGCCGCTTGCAGAGATAAATAAAATATGAAAACAAAAMTCTCTCTCCATTTATTATATTCACTTGTGTTAAAAATACTAAAACAATTATTCGCCTCAGGCTCAGTGAATAACGGGGAATATTTACCTCGCCGCTCGAAGACTCGTGGCTCGGTAAATGTTTCCCGATATTCACTTAAYTGTTAAATAATTGTTGAATAATTGTTAAATATTTGGCCAATTAACTGCATGCATAACAACTTAACTGACGTGTTTTGTTATTTTGCCGTTGTAGGTTCCGAGAGTGAGCCGTCTCCAAACCAGTATAACTATTCAAAACCCAAGCTTAAGTTGATGAAAAAGTTTCCATCGTACACTATTCAAGAAGGACGTCGAGGAGGTACTGCTATCTGGAGTGCACGAGGTAAGTTACTGTGTATACACTCTATTGTGAAATCCTTGTCGCGTTCAAAACATACATTATGGAAGCCGAGACCGAAAGATATTCTCGGACAATAATTGATATGATAATTAAATGATAATTATCCTCTGGTTGAATAGCGATATCTAGCCTTTGTAGCGGCTCTTGGGAGGGGGAAAAGGGATGAGAGGAGGGGAGGGGAATAGGGATGAGAGGAGGGGAGGGGAAATAGGGATGAAAGGAGGGGAGGGGGAATAGGGATGAGAGGAGGGGAGGGGAATAGGGATGAGAGGAGGGGAGGGGAAATAGGGATGAGAGGAGGGGAGGGGGATTGGGGATGAGAGGAGGGAGGGGGATTGGGGAGGGAGAGGGAGAGCATCTTCAGTTTCCTTACACAAGAATTACAAACAACCTTTGAAAGTCGAGGAGCATCAGGGAAAAAATATCCAGTTCTTTTAAACGTTTGGCAATAATCACAGCAAAGTCATCTTTTCTAGCCGAAGCTTTAAATAAATTGCAGTAAGACTCGTGCTTGTTGCGGTCAGTCAGTTATTAATAAATTCCTTTTAAAAATAAAATGATTTGGACTGTTTTCAAAACGTTTTCTTCCTCTATTCTACTCTGTTCGGTTTTACAGGCAATTCGATAAAAGACAGGCTTATATTTTCCTTAATTTATTTAGATCAATTTTGCCTGGCCGGGCTCTGCTTTCAGTTACGAGTTCTCACGATTGATGATTRGGCAGTTTTGACTAGTGAATATATTCATTCATTGGAGGCGGAAAACGCTGAAACAATAGGATCATTGCAGACTCTCCACSTCCCTCCCTTCTTCCCAATCCCCCTCCCCATCCTCATCCTCATCCCCATCTCCCCTCCCATGAGAGCCGCTACACGTACAGGCTAAACGCTATCCGATGGATAAATTCTTAACCAATGGATAAGTCAACGCTATTATCCAATATTGGATAAGATGTATCCGTCAAATAGCGCTATCCACTCTTCGTACAATCGGGACCTGGTTTATTCATTTCAGGCCTACATTTGAGATGCGCATTCGATATGAAAGGTTCTATAAACATTCCACGATTTGTACCACTGGATACATCTAATTTCTATGTACCATTTCAGGGTCAGCTTCTGTGTTCTGTGTTTTGAAAGTGACAATAATTTTGCAGTCGACCTTTACGTCAAACACTTGTTTCATTTTTCCCTATAGAACCAGTACCTGGACCAGGAACCTACAATCCCTTCTTTTATAGATCAAGTAACACGCGATGTGCTCCTTGTTTTTCTATGTCGCGTGGTGTCAGGGAAATGGGTATCACAAGAAACTGTACTCTATAGACCAGTAAACAGATGTCTTAAGGCATTCGTTTATTGATCAACACTAAGAACAAGAACCTAATGTACCTAAGGCATATAACGAAGGCGAGAGATCTTAGGCAGGATGTGGGCGCGTACAAATACCCTGACTGAGCTAACGCATGCCCTATGCGAATATGACCACTATTTATTTTYAGAAATAAAAGCTAGTTTAAAAAGTAAGTCGGTCCACTCTTTAGGAAGAGCAAGCCAAAATGTGTATTTTTGAAGAGTTTTTARAATTGCTAACAGAAAAGTGAATCAAAATGCTATGGATCCTTCTCAAAATTATCTTGTATGTGAGGCTATCATGAAAATACAAAAGGAAATCAGACTTTTTCTCAAAGGAATATTTACTTATTTTCATTTRAGATAATTTTGAGAAGGGTCCATTTGCTATGTGTCCAGCAACTGTGGACTGTTCACATATAAAAATTCTAATAGCTGCTTTAAGAGAATTTAACGTTTTTACCTCAATATTCCTAACTTTGTTGAAATCGTTCTAATTTTTAGAAAATAAAGAAAATAAAGGCTAGTTTTTTTTTAAATTTCGCTGAAAGCCGAGTTGAAAAAAAAACAAACCTGAGTATGAAAAATTCAAGCTCGATGAATAAAAGAACCCTTAACTTATACGCGTATRTCTAAATCCAAACAACCAGCAAACAAACTTGGATTGCTCGTTTCACTTACAACTCCCTGATCGCCTCAACCTGCACTACTTAACATCAGAATTTAACCACCATCTTTTTAATTATATATAACAATAGATGGCGTAGGGAACTGTGAGTAAGTACCTGTTAACCCCAAACATTACTTTTCTACTCACCTATATATTGCCTACTTAGCTTCCTCTTATCTTGTGTCTCCAGTGTTCATACATCGTATCGGTAATTATTGTAAG